ACGTATTCTGCTTTCCGTCGGCATGGCTGATGCTAATCTCCAGGCGAGTGACTCGGTGCGCTTTCTCGGGCTACGATTTTCATCCGACATGAATTGGAATGATTATATTGAATTAACTGCAAGGTCATCTACGAGGAAATCTGGTCCCCTCTGTCGTGCTAAACATATAATTTCGCCCGAATAATCTCACATATTAATAAGTCTACCATTCGTCAATGGTTTGAAAATTTCTGCCACTAGTTTTCATGCTATGTATTTAGAGATCCTTGATAAAATCCAGAGAAGGATCTGCAATGTTATTGGTCTTGACCTGGCATCTCGGATTCAATTACATTTCAACTATCGTAATGTTGTTTCTCTGTGCTTTTTCTATAAATACTTTCCTGATAATAGTTCGAATGAACTTTCCCTTATAGTACCAAGAAAATGTACTTGTGTTTATACAAATTACAGAAAAAGGGAAAAAAATATTAGCTTTTCTGTTTATGTGTGTGATTCTGGGTGACTAAATTTTCCCCAAAAGCAAGAACTAACAATATTTATACCTACTTCATTCTAGAATGAAAAGAGTTATAGTGAACTTATGTCCTTTAGTTATAGTCATACTTAGCGTCACTTAGCGAGCATTTAGGTGGGGATAATCCACACATGACCAGAGCGAATGGAAGCAAAACAGGTATCTAGCGACTAATCTCCCTATGCCTTTACTGGCAGCTTTGTGTAAACCAAAGCTTCCTTTAAGTAGCTACTGTACCAGTTTGGTAATTTTGATGCCAGTGAATCGTCTGTTACTGAAAATGTTTTCCTTTGCAGGCTCGGATTAACTAGGTTTAGTTTTAAGTGTTTTTTGAAAAACTAAATCGAACGATCTGGATGGTTAATTTTTTTTTTGTCTCAACAAATATGTGATGAGTTCTCGACTACATCCACCAAATTAACACTGTCTAAATTCAACCTAGTTTTCCGTTTTTCAACATCCTTTTGGTTGGTTGTTAATTGTTTTCCCAGTCTCCTGCTATTGGTCAAGTGCTGTGTGCAGATGCGTGTGTTTAATCCAAACTGTGATAATCCAAAAAGAAGATAACAATATTATTAGAAAAAAACAAATAGGATAAAGCAGACACCTAACACTTCCTACTAACTCCATAAAATCCCCTATGCACCATAAAAAACATCAAAATAATTCAATCTAAACAACATCAAAATAATTATAACCACATCCAAAACTATTATGGATATGATGAGAACTCCAAATACATATAACAATAATAGTTCTGAAGCAGATGCAAATAAAATAAATAGACAAAATTGCTCCTAACAATATACTGGGAAAACTGACAGAATTTAAAAGAAAGTATCTTATACACAATTTTATCTTATTGTATACTTTATGTGTATAATAACGTATCTTATACACAATTGTATCTTATTGTATACTTTTTGTGTATAATAACGTATCTTATACACAATTGTATCGTATTGTATACTTTTTGTGTATAAGAACGTATCTTATACACGATTTTATCTTATTGTATACTTTTTGTGTATAATAACGTATCTTATACACAATTGTATCGTATTGTATAGTTTTTGTGTATAAGAACGTATCTTATACACAATTTTATCTTATTGTATACTTTTTGTGTATAATAACGTATCTTATACACGATTTTATCTTATTGTATACTTTTTGTGTATAAGAACGTATCTTATACACAATTGTATCTTATTGTATACTTTTAGTGTGTAAGAACGTATCTCAAACACAGTTGTATCTTATTGTATACTTTTTGTGTATAAGAACGTATCTTATACTCAACTGTATCTTATTGCGTTCTTTTTGTTCATAAGAACGTATCTTATAGATAATTGTATCTTATTGTATACTTTTTGTGTATAAGAACGTATCTTATATACAATTTTATCTTATTGTATACTTTGGTGTATAAGAACGAATCTATGCACACAAAAAGTATCTTATACAAAATTGTTTTTTAAATGTATTAATTATTCATACAAATAAATTCATCCACGACTTATGAAAAGAGAAAGTAATTTACTTAGAAGGAAATTCTCGAACGTGCAGCTATCGAATTTTATACAAATATAAATCTACACACATGATTTTCTCCAAAGTCACCATTCCTGAAAGAATTAATACTTACCCAAGCCAAAATTCATCATTATAAAAATGCTAAAAATTTAAAAGAAAACGGATAAGTTCATAACCTCAAGTTATTTAAAATCTATATCACATAAATTAATCCTAAATTAAAATGCATTTAAAAGAAATTCATTAACATCATTTACTCACTTTCGTTTATTACACAGTAAATTGTGTCACTTGACGTCCTCCATAGTTTGTCTGACATTTTCGACTAACTTGATGAATAGTTATAAGCGTTTTTAAATTTAATAATTTTGAAAAACCAATAACATTCTTTCTCTTGTATATAAATGATTGTTACAGGACGAAACGCGTCGGTTGAGATAAATTTTTCCTTTTGTCTTTATTTATAATGTACTTTTACAGATATACTCTATGTGATATTTTTTCACAATCCAAAGTATACCTACACGAAATTAACCTGTTGGAGAGAAAAGAATGTTTCCAGAAACATCTTCTTAGGCCTCTCTTTGAACTCAATAACATCATAAATATTTAGTATAGTAAACTGACTTATTGATTTTTTTTTAAAATGATATGTGACATTATAAGAGCCAACAATTTATTCCATGAGCATCCTCCAAGGTTCCACCTTAGGCAAATGAAATAAACTGGAGTTATAACGACACTGAGTGGAATGGAAGACGACATATAGAAGGAATTGGTCCGGAGCTCAACTGCCCCCGTCTCTACGACCACAACCGGTTGGAAGATTGATAACAATGTGGATAATATGGGTAATCTCTCTTCCTGCTTCTTGATTTGAAGTCATCTTTGATCTTCCTAAATTTAAATTCAATGTAATTCGTTATATTTTGTCTTCTTAATTCCTCTTTTATTGTTTGTTTTCACCTTAATAGTGTTTTTCTCATATTCTCTAACACTTAGTAACCGTTTGCGTCTTAGTGGCTTTATTGCCTTGCTTCATTAAGAAAATGTATAAACATACGTTAATATCTTTTTCCAGATTGTTTTTTATTGAATCCATTGCGAGATCAGCCGCTAAGAAAATTGGTTCACTGTATCGTGCTAGATAATTTTTCTCCAGAATCTATCTTACATATCTATAAGTCTACCATTCGTCCATGCTGCTGCCACATATTGCCCGATGCATCAAGATCTCCTTGATAAAATCCAAAGAATTGGAAATATTATTGGTCCTGACCTGGCCTCTCGGCTTCAGTTACTTTCTCACTGCCGTAAAATTACATTCCTGTACATCTCTATAAATACTTTCATGGTAATTATTCGTATGATCTCCTTGTTATTGTGTCTAGACATTTTAAAAAAAAATTAAGCGCAGTACTAGGCCGTCGTTGAGGTCTCATCAGTTTATACTTAAGATGGCTAAATATAACCATAAGTTCTATTGCAACAGTTTCTTTTCTCACACTTCCAGCTTGTGCATCTCTCTTCCATTTCCATGCTTTCCAGCTAACTTTAATCTGCAAAAATTAAAATGCAATGTCGATCGCTATCTACTGTCCCCCTGATTAATCTCTCTCTTGTTCTTACTCTTTAGAAATGTTCCTGTATTTTAATTCTTCCACATACATTAACCCTTGTGTCTTTATTGACTTACTTGGGGTGAACCCGATCTTAAAAAAAAAGCTAAAACCATATGTTATATATCAACCACTCAGACATATTACAGGCATGTCAACGGCTACTAAATATTTCTAGTAATATAGGCTACAATATGGCATAGAATCCCTGATATTTGGAAACCGATAGAATCCATTGATTTAACAAGTAACATATCAACTAATAATCCCATAATTCTTTGCATCATTCACTGTTGTGGGCGAATCAAACTACGTCGATTTGTGACCATTCAACCTCCGTATGATTATAGATGTTTCCGTGAGCATGTTTAACGAATTGCGTCTTTTGTCATTTAATTGGTTGAACTTTTTCGTTTGCTTTTTTTTTATCTTGTATATATCGGTCAGGAAGTTCCTGTAGGCAATTGTGTATTACTTGTTCACACTTGTACCCACCCACGGCAATTTCCTATCATTTGTGAATGTAATTATTTTTAGGCTAAAATTCTTGAATATGACGTTCGTTTTATCCACTCGAGCTTCATTATTTTTACCCAATATTTTTTTTCCTTTTCTACGCATTAATTATTTTCTACACTTTCGTTTTTTTTTCTTCTTGCCATTTCTTTTCCTTCCTATGTCCATGTTTATCTATTCCTTATTTTCATGTTCCTTCATGTTTCTTTCTGATAGTAAAGCAAAAGACGAAAAGAAAGAAAGAAAGAACGAACGAAAGAAAGAACGAAAGAATAGAAAAAGTAAAATGGTCGAGAGGGGAAGGGGTAAAAACAAAGAACGTTGTTAGTAAAGCAAAAGAAACAAAGAAATGGAACAAAAGAAAGAAAGAATAATGATGATGAAATAGCAAAAAGAAGAAAAGAAAATAGAAGGTAAGAAAGGAGGGAGAAGAAGAAAAATGAAAAAAGGAAAAAGAAAGAAAAAGACTGAAGAGAGATGTATGAGGGTAAAGAAACGAGAGAAGAATGGGGAAGGGAAATGTAAAATAAGTATAAGGAAAAATCCAAAGAACGAAAAAGAAAGGAAAAGAAAGATGCGAATAAAGTAAGGAAGGAAAATCTGAATAAATAAAATAAAAAAGAAGAAAATCGCTAAATAAGCATTAGGCGGAGTGTGTTCCTAGTTGAAAAGGGATCTGATATTCTCAGTGTATAATGTCGAAACTATGTAAAATGTGGTTAAGAGTTAATCTTAAAGAATAGACAATAAATTAATATAAAAATAAAATATAGGAGAAAAGAAAGAACGAAAGAAAGAAAGTAAGAAAATACGGAAAAATAAATAAAAGCATTGTAATAAGAAAGAAAGAAAGAAAGAACGAAAGAAAGAAAGAAAGTAAGAAAATACGGAAAAATAAATAAATAAAAGCATTGTAATAAGAAATAAAGAAAGAAAGAAAGAAAGAAAGAAAGTAAGAAAATACGGAAAAATAAATAAAAGCATTGTAATAAGAAAGAAAGAAAGAAAGAAAGAAAGAACGAAAGAAAGAAAGTAAGAAAATACGGAAAAATAAATAAATAAAAGCATTGTAATAAGAAAGAAAGAAAGAAAGAAAGAAAGAAAGAAAGAAAGAAAGAAAGAAAGAAAGAAAGAAAATACGGAAAATAGATAAAAGCCTTGTAATAAGAAAGAAAGAAAGAAAGAACGAAAGAAAGAAAGTTAGAAAATACGGAAAAATAAATAAATAAAAGCATTGTAATAAGAAAGAAAGAAAGAAAGAAAGAAAGAAAGAAAGAAAAAGAAAGAAATAACGAACGAGAATCAAATAATGAAGGCAGTGAACATGGAAAGATATGAATAAAAGCTAAAGGATTTTTTATGAATGCAAAAAATATTGGAGAAAATATTTTGTGTAGAAAGAAAGATTGCCAAAAAAAGTGTGAAAGAAAGGAATAGATGTAGTGGTGGAATCAAATTGAAAAAAAGCAAGAGAGAAAGACAGAATGATTAATTTTGAGTTTCATGTATTCACTCCTTTTACTATTCCATCATTTTCTTTCTTTCTTTCTTTCTTTTATGTTGTTCACATTTCATTCTTTTTGTTGCTTGACGAATAACGTTCTTTGTTTTTACCTTTCTTACTTTTTCCTCCTTTTACTTCTTCCTTTCATTTTACCTTGCCTTTTCCTTTCTATTTTTGCTAATCTATCCTTTTTTTCTTTCTTTCTTTACTATTACCATTCTTTTTTTCTTTTACTTCACCTTTTGACCCTGAAGTACAATTTTAGCCATTTACTGGTATTATGTCTTTGTTGTGTTTTTCCCTCGGCTAATTTGTTTCCTTTTACCATTAACATCCATTGATCTGCTCTCAAAATCACATAGATTTATATACGTTCGAATCCAATCACCACTCTGTGTTCTGCATATTCAAACGTTTCGATTTACTGTCAGAAGAAAAGAATCAATCACTTATTGCAGCTCTTCAAAATAGGCATTGATATTTTCCTTCGTTCACCCCCACTTACATAGTTCCTCTTTTCTCCATACAAATATTGTTTTCACCACCGTTATTACTACTGTTATCGTTTTTTGCATTTGTGGACATTCGGTATATGCAAACATGGCTTTTCCTTCACGTCCATATTCTAACCTCCAAATGACATCATTCCGTTCTCGTGATTTCATTCTGCACTGTCTACTTGTTTGATTTACAACAATTTAAAGTATTATATGAAATGCTATTAGATGTTTCATATGAAGCCTTTGGGGAGCATTCTGTCAGATATTGACGTAATAATTGCAGAGAAAATGCATGTGCAACGTATGAATATTAGCTAACAACAAATGAAATCTCAGAATCTTACGAAAACAAGGTTCACTGATACTTTATTCTATGCATCAAGGACGGCAACAATCATGGGCCTCCACACATTTCCATCATTTACTGTTCTAGTAATTTTTCCATTAACGCTTTGTCTCAGTTTAGTTGCTCACTAGCAGCATGGCCCGGCGTTGCCCGTGCTTGATTAAAAAATTGTACGACTCATACAGCAATCGCTATCACTTGACTTCAAATATGTTGCCCTTCAAATATTTTGCCATGCTGATGTTGCTACATGCCTTACTTCTTGCCTATCTCACACTGCGAATTTTTGCTAAGCTCTATACTAAACATTAAATCTGTTACGAAAAAAGAACTAAACAAAATGAACACAAAACGATCAGCTTTAAAAAAAGGACTCGTAACTGGAAAAAACGAATGAAAAAAGAATGTTAACAACAAATACTTTTTCACACCCAACCCAGTTCTGCGGAATCAGAATCAAGGTTGATTTTAATCAAGCGAATGAGCCAATTGCAGTAAAGTGCCATTCGGATTTAAATTTTTCCCACTTGTGACGAATGCAGCTATCGATTTTTTTTTGCATGCTAGTTAACATTCGTGTCAGTCAGCTGTTGGCTCTCACGCTGGCCAATAGAATCTTCCTGCCTATTCGTGGCCGCAAAACTACATGAAAACTGCCGTAGAAGCATGAAAATATCGATTATTTCCACTATCGATGGGAGTTGGGAAATGCAAAGTCGGTCTTGGCCTTCCCGCTAAGTTGGAGCATGTGCATGTAAATTTTGGTGCAATTCCGTCGACAATTGCAACCGTGCATTCGTTACACAGAGACACGCACACACACATCTTGCCTTTTATAGATAGAGATTCAGACAAAATGTTTAAACATGTTACGTTTCTCACTGTGCCCCCTCATTCTCATGTTTTCGACGTACGACGAACTGTACTACGGGGAGCCTACGTACCTTCAGAGACTAATGGGTCTAAAACTCACCCTTGACGTCAAGTGGAACTCTTATATACGATCCATCATTGAAAATGAAGGAAAATAGTCTGTTCTCTGTACCGCTGCTGTAAGTACCAGACTCCTTGTACTATCTTCTACCTTTAAAAGAACCAGATCGGACCGAAAGTGGAATACTGTTGTTATATTTGGGCTAGACCTTCACAGTCCTGAATTTCAAGTCTCGATAGAGTCCAGAGTCCTTATAGGTGACAAATTATTTCCCACCTCTCTCCCAGAGTTGGAATGTGACAAGCCTCTCACTGCGCTATTGTTACTTCCATGGAAAGTGCTCGGATGAGCTGCATTCCTAGGTTCTGCCAGTTCTGACCTTCACGGCTATGATCCGTCATTTCACTCACATTGTAGCAAACCACTCACATTCTGTATTCCACTGGTGAAGAATTCCATTCGAACAGCTTCTTACCGCGAACCGTTCCTCTGTGGAAACGACTCCCAAGAGGATGTTTCCATGATTACTACAATCTTAACCTGTTTATTAAGCCTAATCTTCTCCTCTTGTCCGCAATCATAACCTGTTTGTTAAGCGTTATCTTCCCCTTCTATCCACATAAACTGCATCTTACCGCAAGCCTCTGTCACGAGTGCTCCCCTGGGCCTTGTACAACGTGGAAATCACTGTAAAATATATTCTGTTCGTGTGAACTTCTCTAGACAATCTTTCCCAGGAATTTAATCTGTCATTCAGATTCTAACAGTTTACTTGCTTTTCTTATTATCCAGGCTTACAATCATAACACGTTGACACGCTAGTACGATCACCAAAGTTAAGCAACGTCAATCCTGATTAGTACGTAGATGGGTGACCGCTTGGGCATACCAGTTGTTGTAAGCTTGGATGTGCAGGATGCGTAATGAATAAAAGCTTAGAATTGGAACATGAAGATTTTAAAATTCCATTAGGGGTCGTTACATTCCCTTACGCGCAAAACACCATCAACAACATCTTCTTCGCCTGGTATGGCTTGATTAGTAGGACTTGTATCTGAAAACCATTATTATCTACAAAAAATTCTTACAATCTAAAAATATTTCTGTTTTTAAATAATATGCAATGGGTTGATAAGCCGTAAAAAACAAATCAATCAAAAACCTATTATACATACTTGTTGTTCCTAAGATATGTCAAAGGCAGTACCAGCATCATTCTGTAGAGCTACATCTCTCTCGCCTTAGGTTTCCTGTGACTTTGCATCAAATTTTGCTTAATCAGTATTTACGGGCGTCCGAGTCAAGGATGATAGCCATTTCTCTGACAGTTGATCATCACTGGTTTATCGATACTCATGACCATGACTAGGATATGATTAGTAAAGTATGACCTTTCCTAGTAATAATTTGCAATCAAGTTAGACTTATTACCCTGCGTTTAGACTGATTAACGCTGTACAAAGAGAACATAAGGAAATTGAACATGGAATACTTTGCTTTAGGTTTTATTTTTTATTATTTTTTTATTATTATTTTTTTAATAGTTTTTTTGTTCACTTCTCATGTGGCCAGGTTTCTCAGAATTCTTTCGGTCAGGTCACTGAATGGCTTCAACCAACGCTTTTATCCAGTAGGCCATGTGTATACATGGCCTAATGGTAAAAAAACAAACATGGAGAGTTGAGTTACTAAGAGAAGTAACTGAAAGCGAGACATCAACAAGAGGCATGCAACGTGGAACTAGAACAATCTACCCCGCTGGACGAAATAAAAGGTTTTGGTTCGAATTTCAAATCATCTGAAAAAGGCCGGAACGTATAACGGCCGAAACGTCCTGAATTTGGCAACAAAATTGAGGACAACAGTTCGAACAATGTAAATAGTATAAATAGTTAGAATTCCTCCTGTCAGAAATATAGACAGAGGTTCACTTTTGTGAGGTGCCAGAAAACCAAAATAGTAACTTAAGTTCTTAAATAGCATCGTCGGATGTAGATATTTATATGGATATTACGCGTGGACGTTATTCTGTTCAAAATGTCTGTCATCTACATATAAATGCTTATAACCTTTTTGTTAGATCCATGTTGAAAGTGGTCTCTTATTTAGGTATTTAAAGAAGACGATAATTCATCAGACTGGTGCTATGAGCAAAAAGCTTTGCCAAATAACAAATACTGCATTACTTGAAGACTTCCAACAAACAGCAATAACTAAAATAGGCACCAGTTTAACTATAGGATAAAATAGGTTTTTCCTCAGTACTTTAAAAAGTTAGGAAGGAAACTCCCAACGATATTTGAAAGAACGATAGCATATAATGGACTTGAAAAGTTTAATTTTCTGAAGCAAAAAAAAAACATAATTTAGTGAAAATTTCCTGCTTGGTCAATGAACACCTACTATTTCCTGATAAAGAAACAATTAAGCCCACAGTTCCAATATGGCAAGTGTTTTACAAAGTGGATGTAAGTGGATTGTTTTTTTTTACGGGGATCTTGATTTACTTACTATATCATGTTTCAAAATAAGTAAAAAACAAAAGATGAAACACATAAGATATATTCGTCGTCCACCTTTTAATGGATGTAAGAAGTTTATTTTTCTAAAGGAATGTTAGAAGAGAAAAAAAATTTGTAAATTTACAGTGACGCTATCTGTTCAAGAAATTCCGGATGTTTTCTGTATGAAATCGGCTATTCTCACCATAAGATTACATTAATACTTACTTCTTAGTGACTATATATACTCATGTATTATGCAAGACATTATGATCATGTTTTACCCCCAAAATAGGGGGTCGTACCATACATAACTAATTATTTTGGAGACGTTAAAAACCATGCATTTTCGGTGATCATTTGCACTGAAAACAGGTATTTTTTTTCCCTCGTAGAATTGGAAGGGTCTTATTCATATATCAACTTAAGAAATACTATTCATCAGAGAAAAGTCCTGCAATTTTCACCGGTATTTATCTTACCAAATGACATATGTCTATTGTTTAATATGCGAAAATATTTTGTAATTTGTCAACTGTAACATGGAAAAGATTCCTCTTCTGGCTTTGTGTGCAGGATAGGTGAAAAGAAGTTAGATAGAGAATAAGATCCGCCCATTACTTTTTCCCTTTCACAAATATTTTGAAATTGTGGAACTCGTACATGGAAAAATTGTTATTATCAAAAACGGTTAATAAATATATATATATATATATATATATATATATATATATATATATATATATATATATATATACTAACAATCTGATATATGGTGGATTTTCTAATCCAGGTTTATATGTGGCACAAGGCAGAAAATATGGAGCACTCAGTGAGGATCTAACTCACTACTCAGTAGTTAATTTCCAACCATTACACCACGCCGAGGTGCCGAAACAATCTGATACATGTTTCGACTTCAAATAACGCCCAAAGGTATAATAAGTTGTAAAAAAATAAAAAACAAAAGAACAATCAATCACTCACACAATTGTATTTTCCCGCTGCTTTCCCTACAGTTTTTCTCCTAGATTACTTTGCTACTTAATCATAAGTAGGGGAGCAAGATATAGAGCCATGCTTTTTTGAAAAGTATTACTGTAAATAGGCTTGAAAGCTCACTCTGTCTTACTATTTAACCATAGTTAGGGGGACAAGGGACAGTGTCATGCCTTTTTGAAAATTATTACTTTAAAAAGGCTTGAAAGCTCACTCTGTCTTACTATTTAATCATAGTTAGGGGTACAAGGGATATGCCTTTCTGAAAAGTATTACTGTAAAAAGTATTGAACGCTTACTCTGTCTTAATATTTAACCATAGTTGAGGGAACAAGGTCAGAGTCATGAATTTCTAAAAAAAAT